AACACCCGCCAAGTCCTCCCAGTGCCACCCAGGCCCTTTCAAGTGCCCCCCCGGGGACACGTGGTGGCATTAAACACCCCCCAAGTCCTCCCAGTGCCACCCAGTGCCCTCCCAGTCCCTCCTGACCCCCATCCTGACAGAGGCCCCCCTGGGCGAGGATGATGAGGACAAGGACCTGGAGCCGACGACGGTGACAGCGCCCAAAGCTGCCGGCCAGGCCAGCGTCCCCTCGGACACAGACATCCCCGCCGAGTTCCTGCAGCCCCTCCTCACCCCGGAGAACGTCGCCAACTTGGTGAGGGGCCAACACCGCGACGTCAGGGCCAGGGATTGCGTCGTTTTGGGGGGGGGGGGGCGGGGGGCAGCTCTAAGGTGGTGTCATCGTCCCCATTTTCCCCCCCTTTATTTTTGTCATTGGGTTTGCAGGTGCTGATCAGCATGGTGTACCTACCCGAGGCCATGCCCGCCTCCTTCCAGGCCACCTACACCCCCGTGGAGTCGGCCGGCACCGAGGCGCAGATCAAACACCTCTCCCGCCTCATGGCCACACAAATGACGGCGGCGGGGCTGGGCCCGGGTGAGCAGGAACGGGCGGGTGCGCCGCACGGGTTCCCTTTCCCGCCTTTTTTTTGGGGCACTCAACCCCCACCCCCTTTGCAGTGGGTGAGCGGGAAGGCGGGGGAGGTTGTGGAGGGGGGTGGCCCCAGTGGGCTCCCCAGGCGCGGGGGGATCGGGCCTTCACAAAAGGCAGGTCCTGCCCCAACGTGGTCTCCTCCCGTGACCGGGTGACCCTTGGTGGCCAAGGGAGAGGCCCTGGGTGTCATCTACCTGGACTTCAGCGAAGCTTTTGATGCTGTCTCCCAGAGCGTTCTCCTGGAGAAGCTGGCGGCTCATGGCTTGGCCGGGCGTAGGCTTCGTTGGGTGGCCGAGCCCTGAGAGTTGTGGTCAACTGAGTTAAATCCCGTTGGCAGCTGGGCACAACTGGTGGCCCCCAGGGCTCAGATTTGGGCCTGGTTCTGTTTAACGTCTTTATCATGGACAAGGGGATCAAGGGCACCCTCGGCCAGTTTGCAGATGACACCAAGTTGGGTGGGGGTGTGGATCTGCTGGAGCATAGGGAGGGGGGCTCTGCAGAGGGACCTGGCCAGGCTGGAGCCATGGGTTGAGGGCAACTGGGTGAGGTTCAACAAGGCCAAGGGCCGGGTCCTGCACTGGGGTCACCACAACCCCACGCAACGCTCCAGGCGTGGGGCAGAGTGGCTGGAAAGCTGCCCGGTGGAAAAGGACCTGGGGGTGTTGGTCAACGGCCAACTCAACGCGAGTCAGCAGGGTGCCCAGGTGGCCAAGAGGGCTGAGGGCATCCTGGCTTGTATCAGGAGTGGTGTGGCCA